CTTATTATTTATTTTGAGATAGGATCTCACTGTGTAGCCCGGACTGGGCCTGGGTGTTATAGAGATCCATCTGCCCTGAGTGCTGGGATTAAAGGCATACACAACCATGCCAGGCCAAGATCTTCTCTTAACATGCACTGTATTATATGGAGAGTGGCAGAACACCTAAGGCCTAAGGAGGAAGAAGGACCTGGAGGTTCCTTCCTGCTGGGACTGCTCATGGTTAGTGGTTACGTAAATGAGGATCAGATTTGATCGATTCTTGCACTGCAAGCTGTTAAAAGCTTCCTCGATTACTTCCCAGGGGGTCACTGCAGAAACTCACAACTAAAGATCTACAGGTACCTGAGGCAGCCGGAGGGACACATTGGGTTAGGAGGACCTGCTGATTCTTTCTGGATTAATCCAGAGGTCCTCTGTAAGAACAAGCTTGCCTACAGTTCTCAGCTGTCTCTTCTTGTAGGAGATAAAGAGTACGTTTTTCTGTAAACCAAGCACTATGGGGGAAATTCGTGGAGTTCACAGCAGGTCAGCCTTTGCCAGGAAGATACATCCTTGTGGCACACATTCAGTTGTCAAAGGAATCACTCTTGAAATAGAGTCTTTAAGTACTGGGAAGAAAATCATGTTCTCAAAAGTATTTCCCAATATACCTAATCAATTCTCAAATTTGGGTCTCAAATAATACTAGCAACATGCACATAGGTCTTGTACACCTACTTTCCCCCAACTCTCTGTCTTTACTCTGTCTTCTTCCTGGGGATAATCACTGAGATTTCTCTTTTCTTTGGGGACAAGGCTGGCGCTAAGAAACCCTCCCTTGGCCACTTCACAGCAAAAGCACATTGAAGCTGCTCACACAAGCTAATGGTTAATACAGAATGAGAACTCAAAGTCTTCTCAAAGCCTGAAACGCTAAGGGTGAATGAAACAACATGGTACATTATATATCCAAGATAAATAGCATTATCCTATTGTAAAAAGAGATGAGGAAACCAAGACTTGAAAGAGTTTAAATAACTTTACTCAAGTTCACACAGAACTAAGTCTGGACTCTTCAAGACTTTCCCATCCGATCTCAGTTTCCAAGGTCAGCAGATATATTTACCAAATAGAGTGCCCACAAGTGTGCCAAGCCCTGGATATATAATAGTGATCAAGCAGACAGGTTCCTTCCCCTCATGTAGTTCACACCTGGCAGACCTAGCTACCGAGGCAGGCTGGAGAAGGAGGCCTCATTCATTTCATCTACACTGCAGGCTCTCTCACAAGCTGGTGAGTCATTCATATGGGCAACCCTCCCCCCCCCCCCCCCCGCACCCCCGAAATTGAAATGAGCTTTAAGCAGGGTCAAGGTAAAGGGGATTAGTAGAGAGAAACAGTCTTGTTTCTGAAGGGTTTCCCTCAAAAGAGGAAAAATAATCGAAGTCTTAAAAACCATTCTTAAAAATACCCGGGTTCCTGGGTAAGGAGGTGGGCGTGGAGGGAGAGGCAGGGAGGTGTGCGGCGAACCCTCAGCCAGCCACGACTCACTTGCCAGAGGAATACCAGAGGGCGGTGTAGGACACCAGGGAGCGAAGCCCCCCGTTCTCCCTCCGGCTCGCAGTCGCCGCAGGCCCGCGGGGGGGACCTCGGGACCCCGCCCCCTCCCCCGGGCAGTAGCGGCAATGAATGGGCGACTCGGGTTCTCCTGCAATCGCCGCCACCCCTCCCCCGACCGCGGTCCCCCCGCGCTGCTGCCGTCACAGGGCGGGGAGCGGGAGGACCGCGAGGCAAACAAGCCCCAGGGCGCCTGCTTGACCCTGGGCGAGGGCGCTGCCCCGGGCGCCGAGAGGGGCGTGAGGCCCGGTCCGCACCGGACCCCGCCCCCGCCTGGTCCCCGACCCCCCCCCCCCCGCTCGGTGGGCTCGCGGGCGTGGGAACCGGGACCCCTCTGCTCCTGGGGCGGCGCGGGAGGGGCGCGAGCCCCCCGAGTCCGTGCCCCCGACCCTACCTCCTTTTTCACGTTCCACAGCAGCTTTTCTTTGACCGCGTCCTCTGCGCTGCCCATGGTGCGGCAGGTGGCGGGCCGGCGGCGCCAGGCGGCCCCCCGATCCCCCGCTTGCCCTCGCCGCCTCCGCGCCTCCCGGCTCAGCGCCCCACGCGTGAGGCGGAGCCCCGGCCCGCCGCGCTCCCCGCCCGCCGCCGCCGCAGCCACTGCCCGGTGCTCAGCTCCGCAGCCATCTTCCGAGCCCCGCAGACGTCAGGCAGCAGGCCCGGCCCCTTCCCACAGCCGGCAGGGAGGGGGTGTGTGCGCCGCGACTGGGGAGGGGGGGGGGGTCAGGGCGGGTGCGGACGCCTGGGGGCGTCGGGCCCCGGCGCGCGCCGCAGGGACGGTTGTCATGGCGACGGGCAGGCTCCCGCCCCGAGGGCGCGAACCCGCATTGTGAGCGCTGGGAGCCCGCTCCTCGCCCCGGAGCGGCGGAGCGGACGGACTTCTGGAAAGGGGCTTGTGTCTGGGCTGGCTTCAACCTCGGTGACTGCTCCCGACTTCTGGCCCCTCGGAGAGGAGCTAGGAGCCCAGGGTTCCCGGCCCTGGGTTCCTGTGGTTCGAATCCGGTCTAATCACTCCTCCGAACCCCGTGGCCTGTCAGTCGCTCTTAGTTGCAAAGCTTGTGGGAGGAAAGCAAGAATCCAGCCGCGAGCTATGGAGAACCGGAGCCCGAGCGCAAGAGGAAGCTCTCACCCTCCGCAGGGTCTTCCCGTCCCGCTTGGCTCATCTTGCGGATTTGTGGGAAGAGGGGGCACGAGTTGGAGTTAAGAGACTGGCTGGAACGGAGCCGGCGAGGGTCAGGCGAAACCCACTTAAGTGATTCGCGTTGGAAATCAGAGTAATCGGGGAAAGAAAAGGTTACTCAGTTATAAAACTTTATCACCTTATAGAAATCAATGGGACCGGAGAGAGCGGCGTGCAAAATCTACGTGACAGGAGGACTTTTATTTCTTCCCACGTGATACCACTTTAGCGTGCAAAAATTGAAATATGGTCGCAAAATAGGCCCCTGAATCAAGGGCCGGAGTCTGGCGTCTACATCCGGAGTCTCCCAGCCAGCCCCCATCAGTGGACTGCAGCGTGGGAAAAGTTGCCACGACGTATTTGCGGGGACTCAGGCACCCCGGGCTCACTGGCTACCGGAATAAACCTCGCGAGAAGGCGCGAGAGTCCGTCCGGGACTGAGGTCCTGCCCCGGGGCCGGAAGCGCTCGGCTCCTCCCGGAAGTAGTGCTTACTCGGTGCATGTGGGCCGCAGGATGGCGGCTCACCGCTCCGGCCCGCTGAAGCAGCAGAATAAAGCTCATAAAGGCGGGCGGCACAGCGGTGGTGGGTCCGCACAAGTGGGCAGCAAAGGTGAGTGGACAGAGGAGGAAGGAGGGCTGCTTAGCCGTGCCTAGACCGAGGCTAGACTTGGGACCCTGGCCAAGGGCTTTTTTTTAAGGAGCGCGGAAAGGTTCCTGTTCGTTAATCTCATGGTGCGGAACAGAACAGCCACTTCTGATCTGCCTTCCAGGCCGTGTAGGACCGAAAGTCTTGTGCAAGAAGGCGAAGAAGCAGCTCAGCCGAGTAGACCAGAGACATCGTGCCAACCAGCTCCGAAAGCAGAAACGGGAGGCGGTGAGAGGAGTGGGGGTTGGGACACGGTGCGGCTTCTGAATGGTTTTACATGGGTAATGTCTCAAACTAGAAATGGGCCGAAAATGGAGAGTAAACCCAGGGTACCTTCAGGCCATGCTCTTTTTAGTCCGAGGCCCTGCCAAACTTGACAACGCGTATACGTGGCCTTTAACAAGAAAATGCTTTTCTTGGGTATCTTCATTTATTTGGCCAGCTGTTCTTTTGCAGGGTATTCTGATTATTATGTATTATTATGTTTTCTTTTTTTTCTCTTTCTTCCCCCCCCCCCCTCCCCCCCCGAGACAGGGTTTCACTGTGTAACAGCCTTAGCTGTCCTGGAACTAGTTTTGTAGGCCAGGCTGACCTCGAACTCGCCTCGGGCTCCCAAGTGCTGGGGTTAAAGGCGTGCGTCACCACTACTGGGCTTTTGTGTTGTTGTTGTTTTTTGTTTTTTTGTTTTGTATTTTTTCCGAGACCAGGTTTCTCTGTATAGAATTGGAGCCTGTCCTGGAACTTACTCTGTAGACCAGGCTAACCTCAAACTCACAGAGATCCCCTTGCCTCCGCCTCCAGAGTGCTGGGATTAAAGGCGTGGACCACCACTGCCCGGCTTGTTTTTTTTTTTTTTAAACAAAGGGTCTCACTATGTAGCCCTTGCTGGCCTAGAACTCTCGCCTCCTGGCCTACCACACCCAGCTATTCTGATGTTTTCTAATGTTTTACGTTAAAGTTCCCTTGCTACTTTTACAAGCCAACAAAGAGGTTGGGGGGTTGTGCTTTGGCAGGGCAGCTTCTGTGTTTTTGAAGATGTAATAGTGAAGCAAATGAATGAAATAGTCTCTGAACCTTTGTTTTGCTAGGTTCTGGCAGAGAAAAGGCAGCTGGGCAGCAAGGATGGGCCTCCTCATCAGGTGCTCGTGGTGCCTCTGCACAACAGGATTTCCCTTCCAGAGGCATTTACATTACTTCAGAATGAAATCTTGGGAACAGTGTACGTGAATGAATTCGGAAGCACCCAAGGCTTTATGCTTCTAAGCCGTGTAGTGAGACGTCGCTGGTTTTTCACATATGCAAGACCAGGTTAGAATATCCAGTATTTTTCTGACATTATGTTTAAGTAGTTCTGTTTTTTGATTATAATGTTCTAACTGCCTCCTCTGCTTTGTGTCTGCTTGTTTCCAGGGGATCTGCATACTGTCTTAGACATGGCGAAAGTTGCTGATACCATCCTGTTCCTCCTGGATCCACTAGAGGGCTGGGACAGCACTGGGGATTACTGTCTGTCTTGCCTCTTTGCTCAGGGCCTTCCCACCTACAGTAAGTGTGTTGGAGTGTTGGAGACCAGCAAAGAAAGTTAATTAGCTTTTTTTATTACTTTAAAACAACTTTTTTATTATCATTATTATTATTTTGTTTTGAGACAGGGTTTCTCTGTGTATAACAGCCCTGGCTGTCCTGGAACTCACTCTGTAGACCAGGCTGGCCTAACTCACAGAGATCTGCCTGCCTCTGCCTCCCGAGCAGTGGTGTTAAAGGCGTGCGCCACCACCATCTGGCTTAAAGAGAATTTTTATATCTAGGCTGCTCTTGCCCAGAGGAAAACTGGGAAGATGTACTTCATTTTGACGTTTCATTAGTGTTAGCTAAGTCTTGAGTTTCCCAGTGACCGTTGGGTTGTTGTGATTGGAAATGAATTTTCCAGTAGTGAAGCAGTACGTCACTAAATTCTTCCTTTCTCTTCTTTCAGCACTTGCTGTCCAGGGGCTTTCTGGCCTCCCACTAAAGAAACACATAGATGCCAGGAAGAAGCTAAGTAAAATAGTGCTGAAACGCTTTTCCGAGCATGAAGTCCTGTTGCTGGACACCCCACAGCAGGCAACTGTGCTGCTTAGACAGTTGGCTAACCAGAAGCAACGGCATCTTGCTTTTCGAGATCGGCGGGCTTACTTGTTTGCCCATGTTGCTGACTTTGTGCCTAGTGAGGAGAGCAACTTAGTGGGCACCCTGAAAATCTCAGGCTATGTTCGCGGGAGGACTCTGAATGTAAATAGTTTGCTGCATATCGTTGGACATGGTGATTTCCAAATGAATCAGATAGATGCCCCTGTGGACCCCTTCCCTTTAAATCCTAGAGTGATTCAGTCCCAGAAGAAACCAAGCATGGCAATGGAGGTAAGGTGGATAGGGTTTTCATTCCTGTGAATCGAACCCAGGCCTCAGCAGACACTCTACTACTTGGCTACATTCCTTGCCCAAGATTGTTGGCTTTAACTTTTTTTTTTTTATTACAGATTTTATGTTTGTATGCTGGAGAGGGAGCATATTACTGGTGTGGAGGGCAGGGGACAACTTGCCAGGGTTTGGTGCTCTCCTACCTTGTGGGCCCAGAGGATTAGACTCAGGTTATTGAGTTTGGGGCCCAGACTGTTTTGTTTTTTTGTTGTTGTTTTTGTTTTCCAAGACAGGGTTTCTCTGTGTAGCTCTGGCTATCCTGGAACTTGGTCTGTAGACCAGGCTGGCCTTGAACTCACACAGGTCCACCACCTGCCTTGGCCTTCCAAGTTCTGGGACTAAAGGTGTGTGCCATCACTGCCTGGCTTCTGTTTTTTATTTTTATTTTTTAGAGTATTTATTTATTTATTTATTTTGGAGCTGAGGACTGAACCCAGGACCTTGTGCTCACTAGGCAAGTGCTCTACCACCAAGCTAAATACCCACCCCACCCCCTTTTTTTTTTAAAGAATGTATATTTGTATATATAACTTGGCACAGGATGGAAAATTTAATTTTCAGAGAAGATAGTTTTTGCACAAGTGAGGAGGTGGCTAGTTTGAAATGTAAGGCAATAGACAATTATACATATCGATCAGTTGTATTTATCCATTACTTTCAGGTGTTCTGCACAGTTGGCTCTGCCTTGGTGGCAGATGTGGACTCTTTTCTCAGAATTTATTTGAATTGGGGAAAAAATTAACGAACACTTGTGAATTTAAGAAATATAGTAGCATGTAGTAGCATATGTATAGTAACATGTAGTAGCAGATGTGTAGTACCAGATGTGTAGTAGCAGGTGCAGACCTGCTGTGGAAATTGAGAGTACACTAGCAAGCTACATAGGAGAGCACGGTCAACCAAGTGTTTGGAAGAATGACTAGCTTATGAATTTCACAGAGTGAAAGAATATCGGGACTATGTGAACCTAGGTATAGTGATGGAGTAGAGGATTTCTTTGAACTTTATTTTAAAGACTTGGACCTCACCATGTAGCAATGGCTGGCCTGGAACTTACTGTATAGAACAGGCTGGCCTCAAACTTTGCAGAGATCAGCCTGCTTCTGCCAATGAAGCGTTGAGATAAAAGGTGTGCAACATCATGCAGGGTTTATTTGAATTCTGAAGAGAGCAGTTTGAAAGGGAGTGTAATAAACAGGTAGGAGAGTGTTGTCAGATTTTCTTAGAAATGATCTCAAGAGTTAAGCAGGGGAGCAGAGTTGAAATGCTAGAAGACAGCCATTTGGAAATTTTGGTATGTTTTGATTTCTGTTTAATTTGTGGATCTCTTGGGTTAGTTACTGTTAGATTTACCAGACTTGGTTAATGTGTGATAGACTGTTACCTGCTTTTGGTTTAGATTTGTACTACAGATGCTGTAGCTGACATGGAAGAAGACCTTAAGGTTCTGATGAAAGCAGACCCTGATCAACAGGAAACTTTACAAACAGAGGTTTTTCCAGATCCAATGGAAGGGGAGCAAACCTGGCCTACTGAGGAGGAACTGGATGAGGCAAATGGTCAGTGGTAGCAAACATGTTAGTAGTTCTTTACTTGGTCACTGCTTGCTTATAGGGCTGGATGAGGAAGTGGCTAGAGTTCAGATACTACATGACTGTACTAAGCAAACACTGGGCACAGCTCTGCTTCCTTTCTCAAAATCACTCGAGGCTCGTCTTTTTAAATAATAAATGATATTAAGTTCATTACAGGGTTTATTTAGCTGTGTATCGGTTGCTAACCAAGATAGCTGAATTAAATTTGGAAGTAGTCTGTTCTCATGTAACTGCTATTTTCTCATGTTGGTAGCAGTGTCTGCATAGTGAGAATACAGAAAGGAAGTATAATTAATATATAAATAATGTGAATTAATGAATTGTCTGGGTTTTACAGATTTACTGAAGCAGCGTTCCAGGGTGGTAAAGAAGGTCCCTAAAGGAACATCCAGTTACCAGGCTGAATGGATTTTGGATGAAGGTGATGAAAGTGGTGGGGAAGGCGATGAGTACGATGATCTACAACATGAAGGTTTTATGGAAGAGGAGTCCCAGGTAAGAAAATGGGCCACTGGGCCACTTGTGTGTACAACTTCAAAAATGTGGCTGTGTGAAATCAGCTGCTTAAGAATGGCTGTAATTTCCAAAGCTACAGAGAAATGCTGTCTAAAACAAAACAAAACAATCCCAAAAAAAGAATTGCTATAATTACGGAAAGGATGTTTTTATTACTTCCTCTCTTGTTAGTTTATTTTGTGTAAAGTACTTGCCACATAAATGTTAGGACTTAGAGTTTGAATTCCCAGAGCCCATGTGAAGCATGATTTAACAAACAACAAAAAATCCTATGTTGGAGCCCACTAGGTTTCCTGGTGGCTGTACCCATCAGGACTGCATAAGAGGTTGATTGAACCACGGGCCTGGGCACCAGATGTTTGTATGGGTCTACACTTGACTATAACTAGCAAGGGGGAGGTCTTTGGCTCCACCCCTTGGCACTGTTAAAATAGACCTTTGGAATAAAGCTCTGGGCCGGTGGATAAGGATCCAGGCCCACCTGAGTCTGTCCTGTGTGTTCTATTTCTCTCCCCCTTATTTCTAAGTCTCTTATCCCTCAATCCTCAAGAGTTCCTGGAGTAAATAAGTGTGGGGGCTGGTCTCCCACAATCCTGTCTCAAGGTGGAAGGTGAGGACAATCAAAGATGTCCTCTGACCACCACATGCGTGTCTGTACCCATGTATCACACTCTCACGTACAGTTTTGTATTTATATTGCTTACAGATAGGTGTCTAGGAAAATTAATCTTTGTTTAGTTGCTTTTGGGGTAGAGATGGGTAGGTTTCTCCTGAAATACCTGCAATTTTTTTTTTTAAGATAGTCTCATTAGCCCATAACTGCCCTTGAACTCAAGCAGTCCCTCCTCCCTTCATCTTCCCAGAGCTAGGACCATAGGCATGTGATTGTTAGTTTGGTTTTGTTGTTGTTGTTGAAGACGTTGGCACATCATTTTATTGTTGTTGTTGGGTAGTTTTGTCCTTTTTTTCTGACAAGTTCTCATGTATCCCATGTATTAGCCCTGAACTCAGTATGTATCAGAGAATGATTTTGAACTCCTTAATCTCCTGCCTCTGCCTCTACATCCCCAGTGCCTGGATTATAGAGATACTCTGGCATCCTGTGTGTTAGTTTTTGATGTGGAATCAATTACCAGGGCTTCACAAATTCTAGGGAAGTACTTTACCAGATGAACCACACCCCCCATATGGTTTTTAGGGTGTATGTCTTTGGCAGGGGGTGTTTGAGATAGAGTTTCACTATTTTGCTCTGTTCTAGAACTCACTATGTAGACCGGGCTGGCCTTGAACTCACAGAGATCCACCTTCCTTTGCCTCCCAAGTTTTATTACTACACCCAGGGCTTTCTTGTGGGGGTGGGGGGTGGGAGGCAGTCAGGGACAGCTTACTGAGTCATTTCTCCCTTTCCATATTTGGGTTCTCTATATAGAACTCAGGTCTAGAAAGGAGGTCATTTGGAAACAAGTGCCTTTACTCACTGAGCCACCTTGTTGGTGCTATGATTTTTGTTTTTTTGGAGGTGGGGGCTGGGGGGTATAGTCTTATGAATCTCAGGCTCATCTAGAACTCTAGCTGAGAATGACCTTGAACCCAGGTGTTGATTGTTCAGGCATGTGAAATCTGCCCAGTTTTAGGCAGTACTGGGTGGGGATCCACCCAAGAGCTTTATGTGTACTAGGAAAGCACTCTACCTCTGCCTTGTTTGGGGTTGTTACTTTTTTTTTTTCTTACTCTGTCACCCAGCTGCCATCAAACTCCTAATGAATCTCCTGCCTCACCTTCCCAAATGCTAAGACTACTAAGTGTGTTTCATAATGCATAGTTGTGATCCCTCGTTTTACAGGATGAGAGTGGTGAGGAGGAAGAGGAGGAATGTGAAACTATGACTCTAGGGGAGTCTGTGCGTGATGATCTCTATGACGAGAAAGTAGATGAAGAGGCTGAGGAGAGAATGTTGGAGAAATATAAACAAGAAAGATTGGAAGAGATGTTTCCAGATGAAATCGATACCCCCCGTGATGTGGCTGCTAGAATTCGGTTAGTACTATGGGAGCAGGAAGCAAATGAAGAAAAACATTGTCCTTGTAGAGCTAACATGCTATCTGAGAAGCAGAAACACAGTCAAGGTTCAGAGGGCCCTAGTGAAACAGACATACCTAGGTTAATTAGCAAATATTCCCTGCAGGAGTAAATGCTCAAAAGAATTTGAGGAAGTAAGAGTGTATTTGGGGAACTAAGAGTGTATGTTTTGAATAAATGCTCGTAAAAGTAAGAAGGCTGGACAGTTGTGGCACACACCTTTAAATCCCAGCACTCAGGAGGTAAAGGCAGGCGGTTCTCTGAGTTCGAGGCCAGCCTGGCCTACAGAGTGAGTTCTAGGTCAGCCAGTGCTATATAGAGAAACCCTGTCTTGAAAAACCAAGGCGGGGAAAAAAG